AACATTCCTGAATATGTTAATGTGCTAATCACTATGCAAGTACCAGGATTTTAAAGGCTCAAGTTGTCCCTGGAGCCACTAGTATTATTGTTTGCTGGCCATCTGACACTTGGCAGCTTGCAATAGAGGCCAATGAATCCTTTATGGAGACATGGGTTCAACAAGCATCTCTGTATTGTATGGGACTTTGGGGAAACCACCTTTCCTCTATGGGGCTCAATTTCCCCATCTGTACAGAGCAAGACAGATTCTAAGGGCCTTGCACACCTTCTGTGATGGTCTGTGGTCTGTCCAGGAAAAGGACAGAAAGAAAGGAACCTAAATCAACTTCTGCCCCCAAACCCTTAAAAGACCCTGGTATGACATGTCCCTTATGTGGATCTCAATTTTCTCATCTGTATATGGGAAAATAAAGAAGGGTATTTGGGGTTAGGTGAGATCTCCAGGCGCTTTCAGTTCAGTCTTAAGAGTTATTTTCCTTAAGGTTGCCAAGCATACTTGAAGTGTGAGTTAGAAGGCCTTCAGCTTCTTGGACTTATGGGAGCAGGAGTAATGCGTGGAAAATCAGTTTGGATATCATAAAGTCTAAATTCAAACCCTAGCTTTGCCACTTATTTAGTTGTGTGTGACTTCAGACAAAGCCCAGTTTCTCTGGGCTTTAGTTTTACTGTCTGTAGATTGAGAAAATGAGAATGATTTTGCAGAGGCAAGGATTGGAATGTGTAAAGCATCATACCTAGTGAGTAATAATGTGCTTAAGAAAGCTTACTTTAAGCATCAGGTATAGCTTTGCTATAAAAAAAAAAACAGAGCTCAAATGCAGGAAACTCAGCTCCAAGAAGAAATGGAAGATGCAACAGTTGTCTTAATTTTTCATTTCTTTATTAAAAGAGTAACACAAGTTCACTGTAGAAAAATTTTAAAAGCAAAATTACCTGCAATTTTGGTATGCTTTCTTCTATTAGCTTTTCTATGTATGAATATACTTTACATATTGTAATATATACCTTACATTTAATTTTGTACATTTTACATCTATCTTTAGATCATAAACATTCTCCTATGACATTATGAATTTTCAAACATTCTATATGTGTATCATACTTTACTTAATTGGTTCCCACTGCTGGGCACTTAGATTTCTCTCCAAATGTTTCCAATTACAAATAAAGCTCACATTATTTAAATGTTATATGCACATAAAGTATTGTTCACACTTCTGAGGAAAAAGATTCCTAGGAATGAAGTTTCCTAGGAAAAGGGTCTGTACAATTTTTTAGGTTATTGGTCAGTATTGCACACTGTGGCTTAGAAAGGCTATACTCAATCCCGCCAACAGACCCCACGGGCTGGGTCATGATGGAAACAGCAGAGGTTGACAATGCCAATGCCCTGTCTCAATCCATTTGGAGTGACTGGTTCCAGACCTGGGGTGGGTAGTTCTTATAGATTACAGGTAAGGAACTCCCTGTGAAATATCCCATGCTCTCACTCATGCTTTACCTGCCTTGTCCTGATTATCTACCACTCCCAGTCACTCCTACCACTCACTGAAAACTGGCAGCTGACTTCACCCAGGCACATCATCATCTGGGGCGGGGAGGGTAGAGGGGGCTTCCCTGTCCACAGGACAATTCATCCAGCACCCTGGCTTTTTGTTTTCCACATCTCCACTGACCCTCACTTCCACTCCAGCTTAGTCATCTGCCCCTACATTCACATCCTAGGACTTATCATCATTAGAAACTGCTCTGAAATCTGAACTCAAATCACCCCCCCTTCATGACCATGACCTCCTATCGTCCACTTCTCACATTTACTTTGTCATTCCTCCATCCCATTTCTTTTTGGCCAACTAACTTCTTCCTGCTTACTTCTTTCTGCAAACTTCCATCTTTCTACAGACTTTTAATTGAGTACTTTCTATGTGTCAGGCACTGAATCGGGTGTTAGTTGAAAGAGGCATAGATCTGACACCTTGCTTATTTCTTTCAATTCCCTTTTGTAAAGCTCCCACCTTGTGTCAACTAACTCACCTATACTTTGCATCCCGAATTATCTACTTGAGTCCTACTTCCCTTCAACCAGAATTCTCCAAAACATAGTCTACACTTGTTGTACCTACTCCCCAATATCTCATCTGTTCTGTAAATATGATGGTCAGGCTTCCAGCCCCAGCATTCTACCAAGTCATCCAATGCACTTCCACACTGTATAACATTGAATGCTTTCCAGATTGTGCTTTGCTTTGCCTCACAACCACTTTTTTATTTGCTTGTTTTGTTTTGTTGAGAAAGGGTCTCACTATGTAGCCTAGGCTGATCTTAAACTCACAATCCTCCTACATCAGTCTCCTGAGTTCTGGGATTACAGACATGTAACACCACATCCAGCCCAACTGTTTTTGTTGTTGTTTTGAGTCAGGGTCTCACTGGATTGCCCAGGATGGCTTAAACTCACAATCCTCCTGCCTCACTCAGTCTCTGGCATGTTGGGATTTTTTTTTGTTTCTGGTTGAGATTGAATCCACACATACTGAGCAATCACGCTACCATTTAACCACCCTTCCAGCCCCCAACTGCTTTTTTGTTTTGTTTTGTTTTTGTGGTGCTGGGGATTCTCATGCATGCTAGGCAAGGGCTCTGCCACTGAGCTGTACCCACAGTCTCTCAACCGCTTCTGACACTAGTTACTCATTCTGACCTCTGAAAAGGTCATTTATCTGGGAAGTTAGTTAATTCACACACTCAACAAAAAAATATTAAGCACCTGTCACACCCCTGTCCCAGGCACTATTCAAGATGCTGCAGATATAGAGATGAACACAAGAGGGAAGCACTGTGTTCTCAGGAAGCTATTGTGATGTTGAGGAGAGAGTGAGAATAAGCATACAAACAAGACACTTACCATACAGTGAAAAGTATAAAAATTAAGCATACAAAAGTTTATAAGAGAACTCTTTGGGGTATGGAAATGCTCTATATATCTTTTGTGGTGGTGGCCACATAAGTGTACACAATTTTCAAAATTAATGAATGATACATTTTAAATGAATGAATTTTACTACATATAAATTAAATCCCCCCAAAGTTAAAAATCGGACTGATGGAGTGGCTCAAGTGGTACAGTGCCTACCTTGCAAGCATGAAGACTTGAGTTCAAACCCCAGTACCAGCAAAAAATAAATATATAAATAAATAAATAATAGAAAAAGTTAAAAATCACTGTGTGGCACACATCTGTAATCCTAGTTACTAGAGAGGCAGTGACAGGAAGATCATGGTTAGAAGCAGCCTTTCCTTTCTCTAATAAATCCTACTTTGGCTGTGGACCTTGTTGTCTCATGAGTCAATCCACTGCCTCACGGGCCAATTCTTTGGCCAGTGGAGGCAAGAATTCTTGACACCAGCGCCGCAACAGTAGGGTCAATTCAACTTGCTGATGGATTAGATGAGAGAGAAGAAGAAAATAAAGGAATCAAAGACACTCTTTGTTTTTTTGATCTAAACAATCTGGTGGATAGTTGATCCACTTACTAAGAGAGTAAGACCAGGAGAGAGAACAAGTCTGGAGAAAAATGCCTAAGTTGTGTTTTCAACATGTTAAGTCCGAGAGATGATAATGAATTCATGAGCATCTGGTTTATGTATCAAGCCTCTTATAGCTTGAACAGAACAAATCAGTGTCTAAATCTTCCCAGTTCTGAGTCCCATAACAGGGTTGAATTGTTGGGTCTTCTGAACAGAGCATAAGCCTCAGAACCTGAAGACCCTACGAGTCAATCCTTTTCAACCAGTGAACAGGATCAGAACCTCAGTATGTATCTCAGATCCCTATCCTTTCAGTGTAATAATTGTATTATAAGTTGATTCCTTTAAGGTAAGCATTTGACCTCTACAATCACAGTTCTCCTACAGGAAAATTTCTTGAACACTCTCTTTTTGGGCTGTTATTTTTTGGTGTGTGTGTTGAAATTCAGTTCAGTCATTCAATCATGAATAGTTTTCTACTGCCCTCCTCTTTAGGGCAGCCACTGACTTTGATGCTGAAAACACAGAAAATTAGAGAAACACAGCCCCATGGTGTGAGCAGGGCTGACACATGAGAAGCACAGATGTGGAGGGAATGAGAGGGGGCCAAGGCAAGACTTCCTGGAGGAGGCAATGTCATGCAGAGCTGGCTGCCTTTCCTGCACATAACATGTTGACTGATTTCGTTCATAATTTTGACCTTATCATCTTCCTTGGGGGTTGGGGTTTGAAGACACTCTTTCCCTGGTTCCAAGGAGCATTTCAGAAACATTTTTCAATAAAACCCTTGGGCATTTCCCTTCTGCCACATTGGACAAATGGAGCTCAGTCCCTAGGGAAATGAGTGCAGGTCTGGGCATGTTCTCTGTGCTTCTGACAGGAGGAATCATAATATGAATGAAAGCCAGGCCAGGCAGGGAGGTGGGTCCAGGAGCTAGCAGTGAGAAGCTTTTGCCTCATACTGTTCATCTGCAAGAGATGGCTGAGGTCATGCAGGAAATGGGAACCACCAAACCTATCCTTGGAGGGGACTTAGCCTTGTGAAAAGGTTCTCCCGAAGCCAGTCAATGAAGCTTAGGGACTTCCTGCATCCCACTCCTCAGCCAACTCCTCAACATTTTTCCTGTCTGCCTCCTCCCCTGTTCCTAGCATCACTACTGTGGGTATAACCTCTCCACTTTTCACCAAAAAGATGATAATAGTCTTCTAGATGCTTTTTCTCTCATCTCAACTTCTATCAGGTTCATAATCCATCTCCTCATACATGAAGTGCTCTATGCCCAGGGTCACACAGCTAGGAAGTAGCGAGCAGAGATTTGAACTAAGGTCGTTCTGGCTCTAAAGGGACTCCAATCAGGAAAAGTCTGTCTGAGAGCAGGGGCAGGTGATTGGAGAGAAGCAGGGAGGGTCTGATTTATTGCCGGTCACCCTCTCCCCTACCCAGCTCTCCTCCTCGGCCAGATCACTTACCCCCATCTTCGAACTCCTCACGCAAGTAGACCCGGCGCTGCTCCTGTGCTGCCAGTGTACTGATCACTAGCAGCAACCGCAGCAAGAGATGCATCTTCATCATTTTGCAGAGCCCCCAGTCCTGGCGAGCAGCCTCAGAGAGCTGATTACCCTGGTCGGGTGTTCCCAGTTGCTGCTGCTGCTTCTACCTGGATCTTGAGGCAGGGGCTGAGATCACCTGCACCCTGCACCTGGCTGTCTCCCATTCGTGGCCTGGGAGGGGTAATGAAGACTGCAGCCAATGGTTGGGGACCACGCGCATAGAGTGCTAGAGGAGATAATTGGGGGGACAACTAAGTGTCGAGGGAACTATAGGGCAGAGTCCCTAGAGAGTGGGGGAGTGGCAGGGCCAGCTGAGGCTGGCCTCAGGGATCCTGTGAGCCTGCTCAACTTTGTAGTAGCTGGATTCAAAGCACTCTCACATGATCCCTTCCATCATCCCTCTGTCCCTCTATCCCCCTATCTTCCTTTCCATCCATCCATCTATCCAGTGGGCCTATGAAAAAACAATGAAAAATCCAGGTGTGGTGGCACCCATGTGTAATTCCAGCACTCAGGCAGATGGTGAGTTCAAGGTCAGCCTGGGCTACAGAGTGAGTTTGAGGTCAACCTGAGCTACTGAGTCACTGCTTAATAAAAAGGAAAAGAAAAAGAAACAGTTATAATAGTGTTAGATGTCTGTTTAACAGAAACACTAAGGCCTAAGGGGGCCTAAAGAAGCCATGATTCAGGATGGGATCTCAGTGAAAGCTTCATGAAGGAGGTGACCCTGAGGTTAGCTGGGCTGCAAGAAATGGGTGTGTGTGTGTGTGTGTGTGTGTGTGTGTGTGTGTGGTGGGGGCGGATAGGGAGGAAGAGGACCAAAGGAATACTATGTGCAGAGTCCAGAAGAGGAAAAGACTTGTAAGCTAATACTGCTTTACAACAACCCACAATGTGCAATCACTGCTATTTCCCCTGTTGTGAGGAAAATGGGGCTCAAGGAGGGGAGAAAGCACAAGCCTTTGGTGATCATTACACTGTGCATTAAGTATGTGCCAGGCACTTGACACATATCAATTAGCCCTCACACGAATGTGTGAGGAGGGTGTTATTGTGATGCTTTACAGATGAACAAACTTAGCCTGAGAGACAAGTGACTTACCAAAGTCACACAGAAGGGCAAGAACTCAGCCTTTTATTCCAGAACTTGTACTACACTTGCATTTTACTTCATTCATCCATTCAATATCTACTTACTGAGGCCCTACTATGTGCCAGGCACTAGGCTAGGACTGAAGACACAGTGGAGAATGACTCATAAGTCTTTTGCTATCATGGAGCTCACCTTTTAGTGTATATGAGACAGAAAATCATAAAGGAAGCAAGCAAATATCAGATACTGATATTTAATGCCCTCTGAAAAAGTAAAACAAGGTAATGACTTGGAGGGCTAGAGAGAGATGGAGAAAGCTGAGAGGCTAGGAGAGAGAACAGGTCAATCATAAGTCATGTATTGAACTGGGAACAAGTATTCCAGGGAAAGGCAACATCAAGTCCAAAGGCTCTGAGAAAGGGAGTGAATTAGTCTCATTTGAGCATCAGAAAGATAGCCAATGTGGGTTAAGCACTGTGAGCAAAGAGGACAATGTCAAAGGGTGAGGTTAGAGAAAGGGTTGAAATAAGACATCAAACAAGCCTGTAGGCTGTGGGAAGGTGCAGTGGGAAGCCCTTGAAGGTAGTGACATCATCAGACTTATATCTCAAAAAGATCATTTTGACCAGGCATGGAGATGTACACCTGTAATCTCAGCACTTGAGATGCTGAGGCAGGAGGATTGAGAGTTTGAGGCCAGCCTGGGCTACATAGCAAGACCCTATCCAGCACACATCCCAATCACTTTGACTGCTATATGCTAAATTGGGCATGTCAAGTAATGAGTTAAAATATATAAATCTGGGGCTCAGAAGATGTCCAGGTTACAAATATTTTGGGAGGTGATATAACTGGTAGTTCAGGTCACATAGCTAGATGAGCTCTTTTTAAGAGAGAGGAGAGACTGGCCAAGAACTATGCCAAGAACCCAGCCCTGGCGAATCCCACACCTGAGAGGTGGGTAGAGAAAGCAGAAGCAGCAAAGGAAACCACAACTGGCTCCAAAAGAGCCTCCTTGAGAAGTCTAAGGGTTTTTTTTGTCTTGTTTTGTTTGCTTTTTAAAAACCCATTGGCAGGAATGTCTTTTCCTAAAGGGATTGCCAAAATTGCAATTTGACTAATATTTACTAATCACCTACAATAGTCAGGGTGCTATGCCAAGTGCTGGGGACACAAAGACAGACATGACAGAATCCTTGCTCTCCAGTCTTAACCCAGCAGCAGAGGTGGACCTTTAGGCAACTAACTTAGAACCAAAAGAATACGGGCTTAGTGCCTTCATAAAGGCAAAACCAGCAAGAGCACAGGATCAGCAAAAAGTATCAGACAACGTGTGATGGCTTTATTTGTATCATCTCATATAGTCCTTACAATAACAATAGCTATTTGTATACCCATTTTAGAGAAGGAACTGAGTCTTAGAGATGGTGGTAGCTTGCCCAAGGATACATAACAGAAAAGTAGCAAAGCATGGATACACAGCCAGATATTCAGAGTCCAAATGTTTAATCACTCTGATAGAGCTGCAACATAAGGTTCCTGGGAAGATGTAGGATCCAGAGAACAAGGCAAAGGGAGATAAAGTATAAAGGTGGAACAGGGCCAGATTGATCCAGGCCTTGCATGCCAACTGGAGAAATTGGATTTGATTCCTCAGGGTAGTGTTTTCCAATGTCTGCACTTTTGACAGACAATTCTTGTTGTGGGGGGCTGACTTCTGCACTATAGGATGTTTAGCAACACTCCTGACTTTTACTCAATAGCACTCTCTCCAACACTGTTGTGACAACTAAAAATGTCTCTAGACATTGCCAAATGCTCCATAGTCTGTGTGTGTGTGTGTGTGTGTGTGTGTGTGTGTGTGTATAAGCATGTGCATGTACCCCAATTGAGAATTGACACTGTAGTCAATAGTGGGGCTCAGAGTTTGCAAAGAGTGACATGATGAATATTAGTAATGCTCTCTTAACATTAATAATCTCTCTTGTAATGACCATTGTGATGATAATTAGCCTTTGTGAAAAACTGTGTTATGTTTCAGTTCTAATAAGCTAGAATAACCCATATTACTTTGGTAACATTCCAGTGGAGTCTATTCATTTCCTGTGAAATGATAAAAGTTGACCATGTGCTCCTCAAGGACAGTAACCACAGTGCCTACTTTGTTCTTTTGTTTTCAGCCTCTAGCACAATGAATGTTAACTGAATGGGTGAATTTTAAAATAGTATTATATGCACAATTATATTTATTTTTAGGATATCATGCTGAGATCAGAGATTTGTCAGAAGTCTGATATAAAATAAATGATAAGTATTTTATTAAGCAAAGAAGTCTGTTTTAGTCTTCTGGTGCAAAAATCCTGATAAAGTATGTGATTCATTTTCAGGTGTATTTTCCATATGGGAAAAAATTAATGTGATGTTTGTAGCATCCATAGAGTTTTCTTCTATCTGTAAGAGTATACTTTTAATTATTTAATTGTCTCAGTCCATCTGTGCTGTTATAACAAAATGTCTAAGACTGAAAAATTTACAAGGAATAGAAATTTATCTCTCAGTTGGGTACCATGGTGCATGAATCCCAAGCTACTAAGGAGGAGGAGGCAGGAGAATCACTTCAGCCCAGGAGTTAAAGGCAGCATAACAAGACACTACCTAAAAAAGGAAGAAGATAGCCAGTGCCCAGTGGCTCACTCCTATAATTCCAACTACCTAGAAGGCAGAGATCAGGATGATAACAATTTGAAACCAGCTCAGGGCAGATAGTTTTTGAGACCCTATGTCAAAAAAAAAAAATCACAAAAAAAGGGCTAGTGGAGTGGCTCAATGGTGAGAGTGTATGTCTAGCAGGCATGAGGCCATGAGTTCAAACCCCAGTGCCACTGAATAAATAAATAAATAAATAAATAAATAAATAAATGAGGAAGGAAAGAGAAATGTATTTCTTAAGAGTTCTAAAGGCTAGGAAGTCCAAGATCAAGGCACTCACCAGATTTGGTATCTGCTGAGCTGATCTTTGCTTCCAAGAGTGCGCCTTTTTTGCTGTGTCTTCATATGGCAGAAGAAGACAAAAAGTGGTGAATTCTGTGTCCTTCTTTATATGGTAGAAGAGATGAAGGCAGCTCTCAGAAGCCTCTGTTAATCCCATCCATGTGTTGGCCTTAACCTGCCAAAGGCTCCACCTCTGGATCAGTGATCCTCCTGATTTCTGTGTAGGATTACAGGTGCCTGGCACTTTTTAGTTTTTTATTTTTCCAGTGCATCTATCCTACTTAATTGTGTCCATAACACAATCACTAATTTATGGGTAGTAAAGGGGAGAGTTCAAAACCATCAATTTGACCATTCTCGTATGGTATATTTACACATGCAGGGAGTTGTACTAGTATTGCTATGCATCTCCAAATCCTCTACAGATCTAATTACACAACTACAAAGTGAGTGCATAAATTATGCACCAAAGCCATGTTTTGGAAACCACTATATAGTCCTGGGAATTAGATAGGAGATTAGATCTTTGTAATTGATATTTTCCCACTTAAGGGAGAACTGGGGTGGATCAGTGGGAACTTCTTTCTATCTAAAGACCATGTGTGTGCAGTTCTATAGGGATAGTTGGGCATTTAAATTGCAAACACTAGATCTAGGGTGGAAAAGGACATTTCAAACAGTTATATAATTCTGCTCAGGTCTTCCTCTTTAGCCTAATCTCCCACCACAGGTTCACATGTTCCCCTTACCTTACCACATCTGGAAAAAGATGTCATTTCATGAGTGCATAGTACAGAATCTCAAGTCTTTTAGTTTTTGCCTATATTGTTCTGTCTGCCTGGACTATTCCTCTCCTCCTCATTCTGGGAAAACCCAGAGACAGTGTCTATTCCTAGTAGCTCCTCTACAAATGCTTTCTCCTCGCTAAGAAGAAAGCT